GCCCCAACATGGGCCTCTCCACCCACGCCCAGGACCCCAGGTGGAAGGGAAAGGAGCAGGTGGGAAGAGTGCTTCTGAGTCATTCAAAAGTGACCAAGGAGACGTTGATGCCTACAAGTGCTGACATTCCATATGGATGCTGGTTCATGTCCTGGTTGCTCCATTTCACATTTGGCTCTCTGCTATGGCCTGGAAAAGCACCAGGAGATGGCCCAGGTCTTTGGGAAGCTCCTGGCTCCCAGCTTCAGATCAGCTCAGCACTGGCCATCTGTGGCCATTTGGGGGAATGAATCAGTTTGCCATCCGGCAAACCTCCCTCTTTTTTTTCCCTTTTTTTTTTTTAACGATTTATTTATTTATTGAAAAATCAGATATACAGAGAAGAGATAGAGAGGAAGATCTTCCATCAGTTGATTCCCTCCCCAAGTGGCTGCAACGGCTAGAGCTGAGCTGATTCAAAGCCAGGAACCAGGAGCTCTTCCGGGTCTCCCATGTGGGTACAGGGTCCCATGGCTTTGGGCTGTCCTCAACTGCTTTCCCAGGACACAGGCAGGGAGCTGGATGGGAAGCGGGGCTGCTGGGATTAGAACCCATATCAATTAGCACCCAGATGGGATTAGCATACCATACGGGATTGGCCATGCTGTATGGGATTAGCACACCATACAGGATTAGCACCCAGTGGGATTCAAGCGCTTTCGTGGCAAGGACTTTAGTACTAGGTTACTGTACTGAGCCCTAGACCTCTCTGCCTCTCCTTTTCTCTCTGTAAAATATGCCTATCCAATAAAAATAACTACATTTTAAAAGAGTGACTGAGTTGATTTAAACTCTTGAGGTAGTGTGACAGAATCACGCCTCCCCAGGGTGGCCACCCCCTCTACAGCTGCTGAATTCCATTTTGGTTTTTATCATGTATTTCATGTTAGTCTTTCAATCCTGTTTGGCGTTTTTCATCCAAGGCAACAGGTACCTTGTAACCTTGTAGGCAGCTCCAAAAACTTTGAAAACACACATGCACTTGTCTAAAATACTCTGTTGGCACTGTAAAAGATTGCCCATTTTGGCCTGGCACAGTGACCTAGCCGCTAAACTCCTTGCCTCGCATGCACCGGGATCCCAGTTCTGGTCCCAGTGGCCCTGCCTCCCATCCAGCTCCCTGCTTGTGGTCTGGGAAAGCAGTTGAGGATGGCCCAAAGCCTTGGGACCCTGCGCCCATGTGGGAGACCTGGGAGGAAGTTCCTGGCTCCTGGCTTCGGATCGGCACAGCTCCGGTCATTGCGGCCTCTTGGAGAGTGAATCAGTGGATGGAGGATCTTCCTCTGTCTCTCCTCCTCTCTGTATATGACTTTCCAATAAAAAGAAAATAAATCTTTAAAAAAAAAAGATTGCCCATATTTTTTAAACTGTGTAAGGGCCTAATTATTTCCATATTTGCTATGTCAAGCAAAGAACCAGGATTGCTGTTTAGCCTAGCAGTTAGAGCCCTCTTGGCACACTGAAAGTTCTGATGCCAGCTCCAGGTACTGACTCTGGCTTCCTGCAGTTGTGGGAGGCAAGAGGAAGCCTTCCAGTCATTGGATTCCTGCCACCTGTGTAGCAGATCCGCCTTGAATTCCCTGCTCCAGCTTAGCCCTAACTGGTGGCTCTTTGGGGAGTGTACCACCGGATGGGAACTTTGTGTCTTAATTTAAAATAAATATATATATATATATATTAGTTATTTTAAAAAGAAATCACTCTTGCCATTGCTGTCCTTCCAGCTTCTAAAATAGCATATTCAAGGACTGTAATAATTGTTGAGTGCTCACATCTTTCAGTTCTATATTTTTCAATTATTCTCCAACTTGATTTATTCTTAGTGTTTTTAAGTCACATATACACTTACTCTTTCTTACTCAACGGCAACATTTATCTTCACTGTCTCATTAGTTCACAGACTGAATGGTCTCCTGTTCTCCTTGCAATATACTGTATCCTTCAAGGTCACCCCTGCTTCCAGGTGCAGTTAATTGTCTGCCTTTCACAGGAACTTCCCATCACACACCTGTCTACTTGAGGCCTCTCAATTGCTCAGTATTTATGGAGCCTACGGTTTTTGTTTTTTTCCTGCTGAGACTTATTCATTTTACTTGACAGAGTTAACAGAGATGGGCAGACAGAATCAATTATCCGGTGGTTCACTCCCCAAATGGCTATAAGACCGGAGCTGTGCTGGTCTGAAGCCAGGAGCTTCTTCTGCTTCTCCCATGTAGGGGTTCAGGGACCCATTTGGGCAATCTGCTGCTTTCCAAGGCCACACCAGAAGGCTGGATTGTAAGTGGAGCGGCTGGCAGTAGAACCTGCGCTCAAAGAGCTGCTGCACAACCAACTGAGGATTAGCCTGATACACCACTGTATCGGCCTCTCCAGGATTTTTTTTTTCAAGATTTATTTTTGAGACCATCCAGGCCTGCTGAGGTCTTGGCCACACCTTCAGATGGGCAGCAACAGCATTGCCCATCTATTTCCTAATTAAGTAAGAGACCACCAATGGGGAACATCTTACCTGTAGGTTCCCCGCCCAACAAGGAGGGGTCAGGGCTTAAAATCCCAAGACCCTTCCTTGAACCTTTGGTGTCTATCCGTCCCCTTTCCAGAGGTGCTTTCCCCTTCCCTGCAAATATACTTTTCTGTCTGTAACAGATTCCCAGCTTTTTATTTCTATACTAAACTGAGGAAAGAACTCACGGGGCATTTCTGGTAACAATTTTATTTTTAGGGCCTGGTAGCATGGCCTAGCAGCTAAAGTCCTCGCCTTGAGCGTACCGGGATCCCATATGGGCGCCGGTCTAGTCCGGGCAGCTCCACTTCCCATCCAGCTCCCTGCTTGTGGCCTGGGAAAGCAGGTGAGGACGGCCCAAGACTTTGGGACCCTGCACCCATATGGGAGACCCGGAAGAAGTTCCTGGCTCCTGGCTTCAGACCAGCATAGCATTGGCCATTGTGCTCACTTGGGGAGTGAATCATTGGACAGAAAATCTTCCTCTCTGTCTCTCCTCCTCTCTGTATATCTGACTTTCCAATAAATAAATAAATAAACCTTAAAATTTTATTTTTAAATTTTTATTTGAAAGGCAGATTGACAGAGAGTAGAGGCATAGAGGTCTTCTGTCTGTTGGTTCACTATCAAAATGGCCACAATAGCCAGAGCTGGGCTAGTCTGAAGCCAGGAGCCTGCAGCTTCCTCTGGGTCTTCCAACGGGGGTCCAAGGACTTGAGCCACCCTCTTCTGCCTTGGAGCAGGGTGGGAAACGGAGCTGCCAAGACTGAAACCAAAGCTCACGTGGGATGCAGGAGGGGCTTTTACTGGCTATGCCTGGATCAGTCATTCACATAGCTAAACTAGCTCAGCGGTCTATAAGGATCCAACCAGGGGCTGCCAGTGCATAAGAGTCGTTCAAATACACCAGGTATTTATGCTGGTGGTTAAGAAGTAGGCTTCCCACACTGAGGACTGTGAGGAGCTGGCAGCTCCCCAGCTCCTCTGAGTCCAGCTTCCTGCTAATGCAACCCTGAAAGACAAGACTACAGTGATAGCTCAGTATTGGGACTGCCCTGTGGGAAGGCTGGATCGAGCAGGCTAGCTCCTAGCTCCTGCCAGTGAACTTGGACATTCGCTCTCTCGGTCGACTTCTGCCTCTCCAACAGAAATGTCCTTTGTATTTATGTATGTCCCTAATGTATTTATGTTAAGTACTTCGTCATCTGTGAACTGCCTCAAATGAAGTCTCCTAACTCCTTAGCACGGGAGAGACTCGGTTATCTGGTGAGTTACACCAACTGGCCTTGTTCCTAATTGGACAGGAACCATGACTTGCCACTGAAGTTCTTCCAAGGAGACAGAAACACGGGCTGACATCTGTCTGTCCCACGGCGGGAAGCTGAGAGTCCCTGGGTGGAACCCAGCTGCCTCAGAACTGCCCACTTGTGGGAAAGCAGCAGAGGACTACCCAAAGCCTGGGGATGCTGCATGGGGTCTTCCCCGTGGGGAAAAGGAGGAGGCTCCTGGCTTCCATCTAATCACACAGCTCTGGCCGTTGTGGCCATTTGGGGAAGGAGCAGTGGATGGAAGATCTTTGTCTGTCTCTCCTGCTCTATAAATCTGCGTTTCCAATAAAGCCACCGCAGTTACTGAATCAAACTGCAGAGGATTCACGAGCTTGACAAGCTCTCCAAGTGATGTATCTGTGTGTGGGGGGGAGGGCGGACACTAAAGCTGGAGTTTCACAAGCCTATTTCTGAATCACGGCGAGACTGGAGGACTCTGCAAAGCGAAGACAGTTCCTAAACAGCAGGACAAAGTTCCTAGATGATTCTAGCACGACAAAAACCTGCGGCATCATAACCCATCTCTACTGGCCATTGCGCCAGGTCTTGTCCCACTGTCCGCAGGCAGTCCCTGCCTGGGCCACCAGGTGCCCCAAGCCCAGCCTGCCTGCCCAGGCCTGCAAAACCGGGTCAGCTGGTTCCGCTGCCAGCACTCAAGATGGCGGCAAGAGCATCGCCGCCGTAGGAGCCACATGTTCCGTGCCCCGTCTCGACCCCTTGGATTTCACTGGACTTTTGCAAGTCACCGTTGGAACCCTCTGGAGAGAGATTCCGCGATCTAGTGACGACACTGCATCCCAAACCCTGCCTCAGCCCTTCAACGCAGAGCGCACTGCAAGTTTATAGCTTGCAACACAGCCCGCCGAGAAACAAGTCCAGAAAGCCTGACACTACGGCCTTTGCCCCACTCATTGGTGGGCCCAGGATGAGGGGCGGGGCTATACACCCATTGGGCTATGAGCTATGTCAGTCTTAGGAAAGTGAGCCTGGGGAGGAGGAGACTCATTCAACCATTGGGTCGTCTCTGCTGTCAATTAGAGCGACATCCGGCGGCTGCCGCGGTCCCGGCCAGTTGATTGGAGAAAGCGTTTCTGATGGACGTGGCGGGCGGGCTTCCGAGTGAGGTGGAAGGAGGGGTCGGGGAGGGAAGCAGAGGCTGGGGAGCTCTAGGCCGGCCGGCGGCGGCGGCTGCGGCCTCGGACTCAGGCTGAGGGCCTGTGGTGGCGGACGCCCGACTCAGCAGCGGGTATCGGGAATATTCCTTTCCCCGAAGGGAGGGGCGCAGCGCCCCGGGGCCGAGGCTTATGGGGTGAGGGGCGGCGGGATGTGGCTGAGGGGCCGGCGGCGGGAGCTGGGCGGCCGAGCCGGGTGTCCGGCGGGAGCGGGTCCTGGGCCTGGCCGGGAAGGGCCGCGCGGCGCCCGGGAGAGAAGTGGGCTGTGGAACCGGTGGGATGGACTGGGAAGGGTTGAGGGCGCGAGAAGGCGTGGTGTGAGGCCCGGGTTTGGGAGTGGGGTGGGGCCACGGGCACGGAGGGCGGGGAGAGGTTTGCCTTTAAGGGTGGGTCAAGGCCGGCCCAGCGGCACTTGTTAGCTCGCCGCCCCACGAGGCTCGCAGCCGAGGCGCCGAGAGAGGGCATGGCGACTTGGTGTCCGCCGGACTCGGGTACCCGGGCCGGGGTGGAGTGGGGTGGGGGAACGGACTCCGCTCAGGGCCGCTGGCCCCACCTCGGGCTCGCTCTGAGGGACTTTGTCCGGTTTCTGGAACTTGGTTGACTGCTAGGAGCTCTTAGTAGCTGGCGTGGGAGTGGGATCCTGGGTGGCGGTGGGGTTGCCCCTGCCGGAGAGGGGGGTGTGTTGTGTGTGGTCCCGGCCGGGAGGAGGAGAGGGGTCTGTTCTGGTTTATGAGCTTAATGGAGGCTCAGAAGTAACCGCCAGAAAGCGAAAGGCACTTTTACCTTCTCCCCACTTGGCAGTGTGGGTCGAGGACTTGGCCTTATCCTTTGCTCGTCTCAGAAAGGTCATAGGAATAAAGATAAAAGCTGCCTGGGCAGCTCTGGGTGCCCTCTTCGCTGTGCGAAACCGCCCACCTCTTTTAAATGGAGTGGGGGGCTGATGATAGGAAAGCAAGATGGGATTTCTGGGTTGGGAAACGATGGGGTTTTGTGTGTAGTGGCCCGAATGGGATCGTGGTGTGTTTTCACACTTCCCCTCGTTAATAATCGCTCCCTTCTGTTTGGAACTACAAGGGCCAGGGGGCTATGGGCAGTTTGTTCAAGGGGTGGGTGAAGAACTTGTCGTTTGTAGAGAGCGAGACGGGCTTCTGCTGAAAATCGAGGCTGGTAGTGTGCTGGAGGCGGGGGGAGCTGGAATATTAGGCAAAGGGGGAGAGATGTGGATGCCCCGGGCATCGCCTGCTGAGCCAGGGCAGGCTGTTTTTCAGGGTTGTGCAAATACGCAGGAGCAGACCCCTCTGATGGAGTGTGTGATATAGTGGTGTTTCTGTCTGTAACAGGTGGTTTCATGATTGACTTCTTTTCTGAAACTATTGAGTCATTTGTTTTGTGTGTTTGTGAAAGTTTTTGTTCTGTGTTTAATGTGTGTCCTGCCTTCTGCTGTGAAGCTCTCCTTCCCCTCATCCCGGTGTGGGGCCTCATCCTGTTGCTCTGTGACTCCCATTTCAGGTTTCTCTGGAAACCCCCCTGGTAAGTGTGGCGGAGGCGGGACGCTCTGACCCAAGACAAAAGGCCTGTAGCCGCAGCCAAAGACAATAAACCTTAGGAAGCAGAAGGAAAAAAAAAAAAGTGCATCAGCTGTTGCTGAGAGCAGCCTGCAGTTGGAAGCTTCTGAGAGACCGGCTGATGGGAGCGAGGAAGTGACTGGACTGTGGAGAGGCCCGCCAGGGGTTAGGAGCAGGTGTGTGCTTTCAGAGGTGAGGTGGCGAGCAGGGAGAAGTGGATGTGGGGGCTGGCGCGGGGCCTTGGCTCCACGGGGTGCGCTCTCTGGGGCCCCGCTGTCCTGCCAGGGTGGGCCACGCTGTCGGGCGCCAAGGAGGGAGACCTGCCAGCTGGAGCGGCGGCGCAGCGTGGCCTTGATTTGTCTTTTTGGAAGATTTAAAAACCAAACAGCATAAGCGTTGTGGTCCTTCAGCAATGCTTTCTCTGAAGAAATACTTAACAGAAGGACTTCTGCAGTTCACCATCCTGCTGAGTCTGATTGGGGTGCGGGTGGACGTGGATACGTACCTGACCTCGCAGCTGCCCCCGCTGCGGGAGATCATCCTGGGGCCCAGTTCCGCCTACACGCAGACCCAGTTCCACAACCTGAGGAACACCTTGGATGGCTATGGGATCCACCCCAAGAGTGTAGACCTGGACAATTACTTCACGGCCCGGCGGCTCCTGAGTCAGGTGAGGGCCCTGGACAGGCTCCAGGTGCCAAGCACGGAGGTCAGCGCCTGGCTCGTCCACCGGGACCCGGAGGGCTCCGTGTCGGGCAGCCAGCCCAGCACAGGCCTCACCCTCGAGAGCTCCAACGGCCTCCAGGATGTAACAGGCCCAGACAACGGGGTGCGAGAAAGCGAGCCGGAGCAGGGATTCAGTGAAGATTTGGAGGATCTGGGGGCTGTTGCCCCTCCAGTCAGTGGAGACCTAACCAAAGAGGTCAGTGACCCTGTGGGCAGTGGGTGTGGGGAGTGGGCTGGTGCTGAGGGCTTGTGGTCCTAGCACTGAGCCGCATACAAGACGAGAGACTGGGGTGGAGGGGCTGGGGAGCTGGGGGGCCAAGTGCGGGCCTGTCGGGGGCATTGCTTACGATTGGACGCTGGGAGCATTTCCCTGTTTTGAACCGTTGACCCACCTCGAAATGTACTGTCAGGGCAGTGGGAGGTTCCTAGAACATGCCAGGGTGTTTACTGCTTAGATTTCAACATGAGCGGGCGGGCGGGCCAGCAGCCCGGAGCTGGGAAGGGCCTCCTGGGGTGCTGGGCTTTGCTGCATGTGTATCTGTTGCTAAGACACAAAGACCGGTGGTGGCCTCGCCTCGCGCCTGGCACCTCTCGGCCACATGGAAGCACACATGTGTGCACTCTGGTGCCTGGCACGCCTGGGCCCAAGCCAGGCCCTGGTTTGGTCAGGAGCGGGCCCAGGCTCCTGTGGTTGCTGAGGGCCCACTGCAGGGGGCGGGCAGAGGGAGCTGCCCTGGAGCCCTCCAAGGAGAGCTGTGACTCTGGCATGGAGGACAGCAGGGGCCCAGCATGGCAGGCTCTGACCACCGGCTCCGGCCCCATCTCTCCTCCCTGCCTGTATGGAGCTCACTGCTGAGCACAGGTCTGTGGGGGGTCGGGAGCATGGCTTGTTGGAGGCCAGGGCTGGGCTAGGGGCTTTTTGCCCTTGGGGGACAGCTGGCCACTATTTGGAAGCTGAGTTACAGAGCCGGGAGTGGCACCTGGTGAGCGGAGTTGCTGGGTGGTGCTTCCTCCTCAGCAGCAAGGCAGCTCTGCTCCCAAGTCTGGGACCCCGGCTGCCTGCAGTGGTGTAGCAGAGGCCAGGATGGATGGAGAGACCACGGACCCCGGCAGCCTGGGGCAGCTCGGGGCGTGACTCTCTTTAGGGTCTTAGATCCTGTAGTGACACTTCCAGGCTGCTCTTGTCCTTGCCCTGGCTGCCGGCAGTGTGCTGCAGGCTCCATGCGTGGCCCCTGCGCTGCAGCCCCGGGTGGGTGGAGCCTCGCAGCCCTGCAGCCGCCTGGGCCTGTGGTGGGTGGGTGTTGGACGTGCTGTTGGGGGAGCGAGGGCGTGGGAGTGAGCTAGGCCGCCTCTGTTGCTTGGCCCTGTGAAGGTCGTGCCTTCTGACCCTAGCTCTCCATCACTTGCTTTGCCTGGGAGGGTGTGGGTCAGCTCGGGGTCCCAGGCTGGTCTGGGCAAAGGGAGGATCATTGCGTGTCTGGGACAACATTTACTCAGCAACTCGGGATAAAAATACCCGGCCTGGAGCATGTGACAGGCCCCTACTGGAGCCAGTCTTATCCCAGGGGTGGCAGTGCTGCCCTGCTGCCTGGCCTGTTCGATGGGCAGCCGTGGCCTAGGCCCTTGTTTGGGATAGGATTCCCCTGGAGGTTGGCACAAGGCCCAGAGCAGGGGGTGGGTGGCCTGTTGACAGCGGGCAGTGGCCTAGAACACGCTGTCTCTCTGATGTGCCCGAGGAGGGAGCCACAGCCCCCTGAGGGAGCAGTCCAGGGAGGCCGAGTGAGCACCCGCCGTGCCGTGCTGTGCCAGGGGCTTCCTTCCCACCCGGGAAGGTGTGGCCCAGGGCTGCTAGAATGTTCTGGAGTAAAGCTGGGGTGACTGCGGGAGTGAGGGACTTCGTTTGTGGCCAGGCTGCAGGGGTCTGTCTCTGGCTCCTGTGTGTGGCTGGGCCTGGCCGGCTCTGTGACATTGCTTCCCCAGGTGTGAAAACCACCTTTCCCGTTAGCACCAGTCTAGCCTGTTTTAGGGTGACAAGGGAAGCTGCCGGGTGCAGTGGGGTGTTGCCCAGCCTGACCTGTGATCCCTGGAGGACTGGCCACCGGCCCCCTGAGGAACGGGAACACTCCCTTCCACTTCCCAGCAAAGAATTTTCGGTTCCCGGAGAAGCTGCGGGAGGAGTCACTGCCTAGTCCTGAGGGGCCTGGAGGAGCAGATGCGACAAGAGGGAGGAGAGTGGCACCCCTTCCCCCAGGGCTCGCTCACTGCGCCACCCCAGCTGACTGGGCTGGGTGGGGCTGCCCGCCCCTGGGTGCATCTCCTCAAGGAGACGGAGGCGGCCCCGGGCTGGGCCGGCGCTTGCGGCAGCCTCTCCGGCGCCCGGCTGCAGGGATTGGCTGCGCAGCGCAGCTAGGTAACAGGCGGTGGGAGGGGATTGGCTCCTTGTGCATCTCCAGCGGAGGCTTGGGGGAGGAGATTGGCTCTCGGCGCAGCCTAGGTAACGAGGGTGGGAGGGGATTGGCTCTTTCCGCAGCCCAGCTGCTGACCTGGGGGAGGGGATTGGCTCTCTGCAGCCTCAGCAGTGACCTGCGGGGTGGGAGGGGGAGGGGATTGGCTCCTTGCTGCAGCCTAGGTAACAAGTTTGGGGGGCGTGGGGAGGGGGAGAGGGAGGAGCGGGCGGACAGGCCCAGGCGGGAGCTTGCTTGCCTCTGCAGCTTGAGCACGGAGCATGGGGTGGGAGTCCCATCTCACTGCAGCCTCTGCGGTGAGCTCAGGGTGGGGGCTGCCGGGCGCCTGAGTGGAGCTGGGGTTGTGAGGTGGGAGGGGGCTGCTCAAGGATGGAGGAAGGGGGCTGGGCTGGGCCGCCCAGGCAGCAGCACGGGCGGGGCACCCTCCTCGGGCCCCTTGGAGCCAGCAAGGGGCCACCCTTCCAGCCTGGTGTGCTCCCTGCAAGCCAGGAGCTCCTTGCAGCCCCCTGTCCGGCTTCCCGGCACCGGCTGCCCCGGGGCTCTTCTCGCAGACCATGACCCGCCTGGACCGCAGCTCTCCCACTGGTGGGGGCCATGCCAAAGGCAGCCGGCCCCTTAACTCTTTGCTGTCTGGTCACCGGGTGGCCCAGCCCCCCTCTGCTCTGGGGTCCAGGGCTTCTGTTCAGGTTGGTGCTGTGGGGAAACTAAAGGGAGAGGTTCCTCTGGGAGGTCTTGGGGTTGGGGAGGGTCATGGTGGGAGAGGGATGCCTGTTTAGGGCTAGGGAGGTGGGGCTGAGCGGAGGAGGTGGTTTTCTGGAAAGTGATTGTTAAGCCCTGTATGCCAGGCAATACTTTAAGGTTTCTTAAGGTTTGTGCAGGAGGGCTCCGCCATGGGGATGGCATATTTAGAAACCCCAGATAGCTCAATTTATTGGGGTTCTATGCTGATGGCAAATGGGGGGAGCAGCGGATGCAGAAACTGTTCACAAGCCACCAGGATAGAGCGGGCAGGAGGCATTTGGTGCCTAAGGTGGCAGTCGTAGTTGAGCAGTGAGGGGGATTATGTCCTTGAGTGAGCTGATGGGGATTGAGCGAGTCCTGGGGTGTGGTGAGGGAGGAGTGGGAGCAGTGGTGTGCGGTGGCAGCGTGGGGCTGGCCTTGTGGGGCTTGCGTGCAGGGGTCATCTGCCTGCCTGTGGGCTCCCGGGATCGGCTGAGGGTGGGACTTCTGGCAGGGATGGTCGTGAGGTGATCCTGGGGGCGTGCAGCCTTACTGTGCTGTCGCCAGGGACAGGGACAGGTCTGTCGGAAAGGCTGGAGGTGGCCTTTCCTTGTCATTGGCTGCAGCAGGTGGTTGGAAATGCAGGGATTTTCCTTTCCACCCCACCCCACCCACCCCACCCCTGTATGCAAATGAAGTGGCACCACAGGCTGATGCAAGCCCCGTCACCGCCAAGCAATCCTGCACCGGGAGTTCGCTCTTGTTTGCTGTGGGGCCAGTTTCCTACAACCCCCAAGTTCTTATAGGCTTCCATTCCTTAAATGAGATGTGCTTCCTGCTTTCCCTCTCTTGGATAGGAGTGAGGTGGCCCTGCCTAGTGGCCAGGCCATGTGTCTGCTCCGGAGCCTAACCCTACAGATTTGTATGGAGATGAGCATGCTGGTGGATTTGGCTGGTGCGGGTGGGGGTTGTAGCACCTGGGAATGGATGAATGAAACCTTGCTGGGGCAGAGTTGGGATACAGGCTGGCAGGTGTCGGGCTGGGAGGGCCCCCACCCCAGTTGATAGGGGACTTGGTGGGGAGGACCGGGAGGGGGCTCTTGGGACTCAGGCTAAAGCCCCCGTGATCTGTCTTTCAGGATATAGATCTGATTGACATCCTTTGGCGGCAGGATATTGATCTTGGGGCTGGGCGTGAGGTTTTTGACTGTAGTCACCGTCAGAAGGAGCAGGATGTGGATAAGGATCTGCGAGATGGAGGCGAGCAGGAGGACCCGTGGTCAGGCGAGGGTGCGGAAGCTCTGGCCCGAAACCTGCTAGTGGATGGGGAGACCGGCGAGAGCTTCCCCGCACAGGTACCCACACCTCTCCCTGCACCTCCAAAATTCACTGCCAGACTGGCTTCCGGAAACTTCCCCCTAGAGAAGGCACTCAGTGGGACGGATCTGAATGTCCTGGGGGGGGTCGGGTTGAGGTCTACAAGTCATGGTGGGGTGACCACCATGGGCCTTGAAGGGCAGAGAGGGGCATAGATGGTGGCAGACGTAAAAGGGCCAGGCCTTGGCACCAGGCAGCACAGAGTGGGCAAAGCATTTTCCTGATGCAGGCTTCTACCTGAAGGCAACCATTGGCCCAGGAGAGTGCAGGCTTGCAGCTGTGCTAGGCTTGAGGCTTCTGCCCCCGGGAGAGCAAGGCCACGGCAGTCAGGCTTCTAGCTGTTGTCGCCACAGGTTTCTTTGGGGAGGGACAGACAGCCCTGTCCCTGGAGCAGTTTAGGCTGCTAGAGGCCACCTGCCCTTTGGGGGAGAACGTGGTGAGCGGGTGCAGGCAGAGCCCACGGAGCGAGCAGGGCAGCCTGGCCGTGGGGTCCCTCCGTGGTTGGCTAAAGCCAGCTCATGGTTCTAACCTTGCCCTCGCTGCTGGAGTAAATTCACAGAGGAGAGTGTGGTCTCTGGGAGGAAAGCATGGGAGGTCTTTCCCGGTCCCCTTAAAGCCTCTGTCCCACCCCAGTTTCCAGCAGATGTGCCCAGCCTAACAGAACCTGTGCCTGCTGAAAGCGAGCCCCCGGCCCTGCAGAACAACCTCCTGTCTCCTCTCCTGACGGGGACGGAGTCACCATTTGACTTAGAACAGCAGTGGCAAGATCTCATGTCCATCATGGAAATGCAGGTAGGATCGTCAGGACGGCGCTAACCTAGGGCGCCTTGGCACTTGGTGCTTTTCTGCTTCTAGGGGGAGTGAAGGTAACATTTTGAAAATGGGTACAAGGAGAGGTCACCTGCCACACGTGTAGGGAGTGGCGGGTCAGCTCAGGATGGGGCTGTGGTGGCCCCAGGACCGGCCTGCCTGCTCAGGCATGTCCTTGCTCCTTCGGGCGCTGTCAGTCACTGGGTGGCTGCGTCCTGGCTCAGCACTCCCAGGCGCTGACATTCGCGTAGCCCCCTGCTGTCTGCAGGATCACCTGGTCAGCCTCAGCCCTTTCTTCTTTCTGATTCCAGTCTGGGTGTTCATCACCGTGCTGACGTGGCAGTAAAGAGGGACTTGTAGAGGGCATTGCTGGTCAGTCCTGCCTTGGGATGGAAGCCACAGGAAGGCCTGGGGGACCAAGTGGGGCCAGGAGCTGACACAGAACTTGCTTGTCGGGTGCCTGCAGTGCTGGAGCCCCAGCCAGGGCACCTGCTCCTGGTCAACAGTCATGTTCTTCTCCCTTCCCAGGCCATGGAAGTGAACTCATCAGCAAGTGAAATCCTGTACAATGCCCCTCCTGGAGACCCACTGAGCACCAACTACAGCCTTGCCCCCAACACTCCCATCAATCAGAATGTCAGCCTGCATCAGGCATCCCTGGGCGGCTGCAGCCAGGACTTCTCCCTCTTCAGCCCGGAGGTGGAGAGCCTGTCCGTGGCCGGCAGCTCCACGCTGCTCCCGCTGGTCCCCAGCAATTCCACCAGCCTCAACACCACCTTTGGCTCCACCAACCTGGCAGGGCTCTTCTTCCCACCCCAGCTCAACGGCAGCGCCAATGACACGGCAGGCCCCGAGCTGCCCGACCCGCTTGGGGGGCTGCTGGACGAAGCCATGCTGGATGAGATCAGCCTGATGGACCTGGCCATCGAGGAGGGCTTCAACCCTGTGCAGGCCTCTCGGCTAGAGGACGAGCTCGACTCAGACTCCGGCCTCTCCCTGGACTCGAGCCATAGCCCTTCTTCCCTGAGCAGCTCCGAAGGCAGCTCTTCCTCCTCCTCCTCCTCTTCGTCCTCTTCCTCCACTTCTTCCTCTGCCTCTTCCTCTTTTTCTGAGGAAGGCGCCGTTGGCTACAGCTCAGATTCTGAAACTGTGGATTTGGAAGAAGCTGAGGGCGCCGTGGGCTACCAGCCTGAGTACTCCAAGTTTTGCCGCATGAGCTACCAGGATCCGTCTCAGCTTTCCTGCCTGCCCTACTTGGAGCACGTGGGTCACAACCACACGTACAACATGGCGCCCAGTGCTCTCGACTCTGCTGACCTGCCACCGCCCAGCGGCCTCAAGAAGGGCAGCAAAGAGAAGCAGGCTGACCTCTTGGACAAGCAGATGAGCCGGGATGAGCATCGAGCCCGGGCTATGAAGATCCCCTTCACCAATGATAAGATCATCAACCTGCCTGTGGAGGAGTTCAACGAGCTGCTGTCCAAATACCAGCTGAGCGAGGCCCAGCTGAGCCTCATCCGAGACATCCGGCGCCGGGGCAAGAACAAGATGGCGGCACAGAACTGCCGCAAGCGCAAGCTGGACACCATCCTGAACCTGGAGCGGGACGTGGAGGACCTGCAGCGGGACAAGGCGCGCCTGCTGCGTGAGAAGGTGGAGTTCCTGCGGTCCCTGCGGCAGATGAAGCAGAAAGTCCAGAGCCTGTACCAGGAGGTGTTTGGGCGGCTGCGGGATGAGAACGGGCGGCCCTACTCGCCCAGTCAGTACGCGCTTCAGTATGCGGGGGACGGCAGCGTCCTCCTCATCCCGCGCACCATGGCCGACCAGCAGGCCCGGCGGCAGGAGAGGAAGCCAAAGGACCGCAGGAAGTGAGCCTGGGGGGCGCGGGGGTGGACGCTCACCAAGACCGGAAACTGGAGAAGGCCTGGGCCTGGGCCGGGACCTACAGTGGGGACTTAATGCCTTCTTAGCCAATGTATCTTCTCAGATGGGATGACTGCAGGTCAGTGTACAGGAAGAAGTGGGCGCGGGCGCTGTCTGGCTCAGCTTCGCCCACTGGGGTGGAGTGCAAGTGCCAGGCCATTTGGGTGGACAGGGTCCTCACCCCTACCCCTTTCCTGGGAGGAAGGGTGGTGCTGGCATCTCTACAGGTCGAGGAGCCATGTACTTGAGCAAAGGGTGAAGGGAAGGAAGGCACTGGAGAGAAGAAAGTAGTAGAAAGAAGGAAGGAAACCCAGAACAATCAAAGCAGGAAGAAAATCAAAGGGAAGGTGAAGTTGGCCAGGATCCGGGCAGCAGGCTTGAGGGACTCGGATGGGCTTAAGGTGTTCCCTGGTGCGGCAAACCCCGTCTCACCCCTGGAGGGTACAGACACAGGGGTATGGAGGGGCGGTTCGGCCACCCCGAAGGGGAGCATTTGGATATTGCCAATAATGCTTCAGTTGAGTGGAAGCCACTGGGACCCCAACACTAGCTTGACGATTTCGGGTGAAAGGGCAGAGGAAGCAGAAAAGAATCCCAAGCCCTGGGTTCCAGCAGCTCCAGCACCCAGCATGTCACTCACTGCCCTGCCACTGCCATCTCCCTCCAGCTCAGCCCAAGCCGAGGCTCCCACTCTCTCCAGCAGAGCCTGCATGTCAATGCTGTCCTCTAACCTTTCCGGGGGTGTGGGTCCTGCCTCTCCCTGGCTGCCGTAACCCTCCGGGAGCTGGGACCCTGTCTAGCCTTGCTCCTCGGGCTGCCTGGAGGCGGTGGGGAGGGTGTGGAGCAAAGTGCCAGTGCTCTGCCTTCTAGCAGTATTCAGCACAACACTGGGGAAGACACCTTCCCGCTGCCTGCCTACAGGTACACGGGCTTGCCACTGGGAAGAAAACGAAAGTCTATAAAACCCAGCAACAAAACTAGTCCTCTTAGAATTTCTTGCGCTTTGATTTTTTTCAGGGCTTGTGCCCAGTTTCACCTATAGGGTCTAGAATGCTTGTGTTGAGTCAAAAGGAGATGCCCCGATACTCAAAGCTGCTAAATGTTCTCTTTGCCATAAAGACTCCGTGCAACTGTGTGGCACTCGGGATTGTTCCCTGTCCCGAGGTCTCCATCTGCTTTGTTTGGGTTTCTTTCTAGAAGAATGAGAAGTGCATGTAGTGGGGGCCGAGAGGCTCCCCCAGGTTCCTGGAGGCAGAGGCAGGGGGAGCCCCTTGGTGGCCAATGGTTCCAGGACCACAAACACTGTGTGTGTTTGCCACTGCTGCCCCGCCCTTGCCTGGCTTTGGGGTATGCCTGCCCCAGACCCCCGGAACAGCTGGGGGAAGCACTGATCGCCCTCCCCGGGTGGGCAGAGGGCCGTTCCTAACTGAGCAGTAGGAATAGAAGGTGTGAGCCTGGGAGTGCTTTTATAAATTATTTTCCTTGTAGATTTTATTTTTAATTTATCTCTGTGACCTGCCAGGGAGAGAAGAGAGCGAGCGAGATGCTGTGAGCACATGACTAAATAAAATAAAATAAAATGGATGATTCATTCTCAAGTGCAGTTTTTCCCCACTTTGAGAGTAAAGAAGGTGGGCCCCTGGCTGGGGGGAGGGCTGGCTGTTGTGTGCCTCAGGCAGAGCTCACCTGGGAAGGTGGGTGCAGAGCAGGGGACGTTGACAGCGGAGAACTCAGGGAGACAGGTCTCGCTGTATTCCGGCAGGTGTCACATAGTTGACCAGGTTTGCCGGCTAAGTCCTCATGGGAAGGACTTGGTGCTTTTCTTTGGTGGGGGGGAGGGTGACCTGTTTGTCACAGAACTAGGAGAGGTGGAGGTGTCGTCACCTGGGCCACCTCCTTACCTGTGCACCTGCTACCAAACACATTTTGAGGTGTGGCTGTTGTGGTATTTCTATGGTGGTCCCACTTGCCAAAGGGATGCAAACCTCTGCTGTGTAGACGATGAAAAAGCAGCTGTCCCCGGCTCCTCTGGGGGCAGTGCTCCCACGTGCCTCGGGTGCTCCCAGGGTGAAGACGTTCACGCTGCTTAAATTCTTTACGAAGCTGCCCCTGTTCTTCCTAGGTGAGAAGGGTCAGTTGTCAAACCAACTTTGTCCTGTTTAAGAATTGTTGTAACATAAAAGGGAAGAAAGGAAGACTGAAAAAACAAAAGCAGTTCATGCCAGTTAAAAGAGGAGCAACCTGACAAGTAATGCTTTTGTATTTCTCAGATGTGTGGAGTAGACCTGTTTACTTAGGGGTTCTTTAACTGCAGTGCTGCCCCTGGTCTGAGGTGTGTCACGCCCCCTGCTCTCATCTCCGACATGGAGCCGTGTCTACATCACACTGTGCAGGGCCTTGGGCCCAGGTGGTCAGCACTGCTGTGCGGCGGACCTGCTGCTGGCAGGAGCCCGTGAAGGACGGTGGTCGGGAGGCCCTGGTGGGGGTTACCGTGCTCGGGCATGTGGGAAAGCCTGCGTGCCGGCAGCGGTCCTGGGCTTCATCTGAACTGACTGTGGGGAGAGGGTGTCCCAGCCTCTGTCCCCGACTCCCTTACCTTTACCTGGAAAGTGTAGAACCTACTCGGACACTGTGAGTAGGAAGCTGCTTTCCATACAGCCCTGCCTGTTGAGAGAGGCAGGCATAACACCCTGCTTGTTTATTTTTATTTACTTGTTTTGGTTAAAGATTTATTTTACTTGGAAGAGCTATGGAGAGAGGGAGACAGAGATCTTTGTGTGTGTTGTTTTATGCCCTAGATGGCGACAATGGCCAGAGCTAGGCTGATCCAAAGCTGGCAGCTAGGAGCTGCTTCTGGGTCTCCCCATGTGGGTCTAGGGGCCCAAGGCCTTGTGTCATTCTTTTTGGATTTCCCAGGCAATTAGCAGGGAGCTGGATCAGAGGACTCAAGTCAGTGCCCAGATGGTATGCTAGCACCACAGGCAAGAGGGCGAGCATGACAGCACTCATTCCAGATCTTGCTGCTCTAGGCTGGATGAGAGTCAAAGCAGGTGCCTAGGGCCGGGTGCGGTGGCATAGTGGTTAGAGTCCTCACCTTGCATGTGTCAGGACCCCATGTGGGTGCCGGTTCTAATCCCGGCATCTCCACTTCCCATCCAGCTCCCTGCTTGTGGCCTGGGAGGGTGGCTAAGGATGGCCCAAAGCCTTGGGACCTGCATCCACGTGGGAGACTCAGAGGAGCTCCTGGCTCCTGTCTGGCTCAGCTCTAGCCGATGCACTCAATCGTGGAGTGAACCAGCAGACGAGAGATCGCCCTGTCCCTCCTCCTCTCTGTATATCTGACTTTGCATAAAAATAAATAAATCTTAAAAAAAAGTTAAAACAGGTGCCTGCCTCTCAGAAGTCACTTCCCCACCAAAAATCCATGTGCCTGGCCTCCCTGGATGGCTAAGCCTAACTTTTCCCATCACTGGTACACAGAGACCTCACACAGCTTGGACGTGTCATTTTGCTAACATACAAGAATAACCGTGTCCATGTTTGCTTTCTTTTCACAGAAGTTACTCTTCCTGCTTGCCTCTGGCTCTAACTGTAGCAGAGGACAGGTGTGTATGGACCCTGGGGCTCTGGGTGCAGCTTCGCCCAGGAGCTCTGCTGTCCTTTTTCTGTTCAAAGCTGCTCTCTGGGAGTGAGCCGAAACAGAAACCAGGGCTCCGGCTGTCTCTGGAGGAGGCAGGCATGGGTTCCCACAAGAGTCGGTCTACTCCGCTGGACAGAAGGCTTCGCTTGCTTTTGGGAACTTCAAAGTACCAGCAAAGGCCTCAGGCTTGCTACTTACATTGCACAGCACTTTTTACTTCATTCCAGACACTATTTCAGCCAAAAGGGGGGGGGGGGTGTGGTTCACCAAAAAAGAGGTAGCACTTTTTGCATTTTGTTTTCAATCAAAATTCAGACTAATACAGTTGACTTAACCTTTCCAACCCTCAGCTAAGGGCCAAGGCAGTTAAACCAGGGGCGCAGTCCCGGAGCAGGCTACAGAGTTGTCCCGCCTGACCATGGCTAGGCTGTGCAAACATTGCCAAGAGTAGGCTCGGGCAATGCCAACCAGGATTTAAAAATCCACCTGGGGCAAATGGGCTTTGGTATCATTAAAAAATCACAGCACGGTAAGATCACAAATGTAGACCTAACCCTATTGCTGAATATTTTATGACAGGCTATTTAATATAAACAAAACTATACAAGTGGAATTCTGAGCGTGTAACTTTCAGCTTAGTACCCCAGATTTGCCTTGCTTCTGCCCTCTCACTACCCTCGCCGAGCCAAAAAATATATATGTATATATTAGGACCTCTGCGCACACAGCAAGCTCAACTATGCTTTCCACTTCAGTGTACTTCTATTTCAAATGTCATGTTCTTGGCATTATTTTCAGCAGGAACTTCCATGGTCAAGGTCGGATAAAGGCCATTCGTACACAGGAGGTGAACTGGCTAGGAAGTAGGAACTTTTTTTTAAAAAAAGGGAAGATCATCGGTCCGATGACTCACTCCCTAAGTGACTCCCTAAGTGAGCTCAACGGTCGATGCTATGCCGATCCGAAGCCAGGAGTCTTCTGGGTCTCCCACGGGTGCAGGGTCCCGGGCCACAGGCAGGGAGCTGGAAGGGAAGCAGGGCTGCCGGGATTAGATTAGAACCGGCGCCCATATGGGATCCCGGGCGTGCAAGGCCAGGACCACTTGCGCCACCGCGCCGGGCCCAAACTTTAATTGGAAAGTCCGAAGCCAGAAGCCTCTTCCAGGTCTCCCACATGGGTGCCAGGTCCCAAGGCTTTGGGCCATCCTCGACTGCTTTCCCAGGCCACAAGCACGGAGCTGGATGGGAAGTGGAGCTGCCGGGATTAGAACCGGCGCCCATGGGATCCCGGAGCATTCAAGGCGAGGACTTTAGCCGCTAGGCCACGCCGCCGGGCCTGCAACGTAGGAACTTTTTAAGAAGCCTAACTTCTTTGCTCCCTCACCAAAACACTAGGATGCCTCCACCGACCTGGTCACTGCTGCCTATCGACAGAAGCCGAGGCTACTGAGGCCAACGCTGAGCTGGTGGCAGCATCGACAGGCACTGTGCGAACAGTGGGCTGTGTGAATGAGGGCATACACTGCACAGCAGTCTCGGGTAGGCCACACCTTTCAAGTTTGTGTAAATATATCACGATTCTTCAAAGACAGAAACGCCTAATTCCACAGTTCTCACAAAGTATCCCTGTCATTACGGAATGCAAAAAAATCAAAACACTGAAGTTTTTACCATCAGCTCTAAGTTTCAAATAAGCAAGACCTCATGAGAAGATCCAACTTATACATCAAAATAATTGCAGCTCATTAATTCAGGACCTGGTGCTATTGGAGAAAGAATCAGATTTGGGTTTCAGAGTTTCCAGTTCTTCCAAATTATTTTGGTGTAGCAATTTCCTCTGACCACTTTCTTGCTTACTGTTAAGAGCTGTAATTGCTTTATAGATGCATATTCCTAATGTCACAGACTACAAAAATATGCTGGACAAACACCAGGTCAAGGGTTGAAATCCAGTGGACTGAGTGAATATGGCCAGCACTGAAGTGATTTCAGGAGAAAGGTTAATGTCTGGAAGTAAGATTCGATTACTAAAAACTTTTTAAATGGTGGTCAACACTCTAAGTGTACACTATCAGCTACAGAGTACTCCCACTCACACAAGAGTAAACAACTCCGGTGGAGACAGTGGAGGAGCAAGGTTCTGCCTGGCTCTGCCAGCACAGGCGCCCCTCCAACAGCACTGTCACCGCTGTTACCAGGTGCAAGGCAACAACCCAGCTCCCCTTCTAGCTACTGGGTGAGAAGTCTGATGTGACTTCCTGAAAGCCATCCAACTCACGTGTCCACACTGCCTGAAAAAGTGTTCTTGGCATGCTTTCCGAAGCAGACTTAAGATGCATTGGACCTGTTCACGCTCACTTTTAACATTTCTGCATTTGTGGCCACAATAATCAATAGCAGTTTGCCCTTAAACATGGAATCCAGGAATCTACAATTGGTTTTGGAAGCAGGGAGCTGGATGGGAAGTGGAGCTGCTGTGATTAGAACCGGCGCCCGTAAGGTGCTCAAGGTGAGGACTTTAGCTGCTAGGCCACGCCAGGCACCCTGGAGAGGTTACGGAATCTGCTCTATACCTCAACATAACTCAAACCATGTTGCTTCAGGTATAGTGTGGAACGGTATCTGCTAACAGGCTTCTGGAAAGAACCAAGTCAGAAATCAGAGAATATAAATCTATAGTTTTATTAAGACAAAAACTGACAGTGTGGGATGAAGTTTACATTTAAACAGTTTTCACAGAAACCTAACACATGCCTAAAGAGATATTTACGACATAACTAGATGTAGGTCTAGACCATGTCAAGAACTGACGGATCTCATGAATCAAGACGGAACATCTTGGTAATCAGTTAATTCTTAGGATTAAAAAACAAACAAACAAACAAACATTGTTTGGTGTTTTGAAGTAAACCACTGCCCTAGTTTGAACGCTAAGTCTGCTCCTG